TATGTAAGAGTGGAGAAAGATCTGATAAGAGGCAACTTACAAAATACAATCTACATATATAATTCTAAAAAATAGACTTACACAAAATACCTCACATATTACTTGCGATTTTTGTTATTGGGGGGTTTTGGCTATTGTCAGGTGCTTGTACCTGCAGCACTGCGACCTGCATAGATCGATTGTGCACCCCCTTTTTTAGAGTTCGCTACCTAGACTCGTCAGGGACAAGAACTGATGGATATTCTTAGGAGCGATGGTTTTTATCTCCTCAGGATAAAGTGTATAATTTCTAAAGGAGATATGTCGTTTATGCATGAGTGGGCTATGCGTACATGCGATACCCCAGTATCTATAAACAAGGCCATAGAGAATGAAAGGATGAGGTCAAAATTTATCACTTAGCGTATCTGTAGAATCAAAAGAGAAAAAATATATGTTGTTATTTAGTTTTGCAATTGTATCACTATATGGCGCTAGTTTAAGTTTCTTCGTTTTCTAGCTGTCGATGTTAAGGTGTCGAGAATTGATATTAAAATTTTGTTATTTTTTCTTTGTAATACAAATAAATTATTATATACGCAAGTATTTCTAATTCTATAGTTTAATTTACTAAGCTAATCAATTTAAACCCATAGGACCAATGGGTAAGCTTTTTCAAGACAAATTATTTACGATGGCTTCATCAGGACGTCATGCTTGCAATGTGGCCGATTTATGACGGTCCGTGAACAGCTCTTTTCGAGAGCGGCATGGCCTACCACAGGCTCGACAAGGGAAATTATTGGCAGTAGTCTGTACTGAGCCGCCTGTGGCCAATACGACCCCGTTATTAACAATATTGCCATAAAAAAATTCTGGTAAAGAAATGGATTCTTATTTGTAAGATGCTTGTAGGAATTTCAAATATCTTCCACAAATTTCAAAATTATTGAAGGAAATTCCCAATTCGAGTGCCTTTTTTGTTTCTCTGTTACTACTTCATAACTTCGCTAAAAATGCGCGTATTTGATGATTATTTTTGGAGTCGTTTGACTTTACTTCCTTTACTCCCGACTTGATAGTTACTTATCGCTTGTCAGGATTGAAATTTAACATAATGTTATTGTATAATATGGTCGGATGAGAATTATTAAATAAATAAGCTAACGAACTTCACGGTTGTCACAACAAAGACGAGAGACAAGACGCAAAACCCCGCAATACGTCATTTATTGTCTATTATTCTCCGGGGAGTTGTAGAGATTTATATGTTTTTAACAACCATGCACAGTAGACCCGCCTCTGTTGGTTTCCGGGTGTTTTACAAGAAATATAAGTGTCTACGTGTAATTACTATCTGCATTCCCTTTTGAGCAGAAGAATACAATAGAGAACCGCGAAGAATAAGTGTTTAAGACATATCACAGGTATACAGTCATGAGGAGTAATGAATCCATGTTTTTTTTATATTACGAGGGTGGTAACATGCATACGGCTCATCTGATGTACATAGTTACCGTAACAATATACCATGTCATATCGACCTCTACGTGGTTCCTCCTGAAAACCATCGTGATAAATTCATGGTGAATTTGTAACGATGGGCTAACTGACCTAACCTCAGGTTCATCTTATCATCCACTCGTGCCATCGCCAGCGTAAACCATTAGCGCAGGCGGGGCAACATTACATCATCATAAGTTATTAAATCGCGGCTGAAGGAATCTATCAATTATATATATATCAATATAATATAATAATCTAATCCCAACTTTGTCCGTACTTGACCGTGATAAAAAATTATTTTCATGACAATTGTGAAAACGTAAAACAAACAAACTAACTTTTGTATTTATAAAATAGCTTATGCGAATTGTGTGGAAACTTATTCTTAACCAACTTCAAAACCGGTTTCTTCTTATTATGCATATAGGTATAATATTACGTTATATTATCACTTTTATTCTATCTCGAGGTTAATGATAAATACAAAACGTATCAACTACTTAAAACATATGTATATATAAAATCTTGGAATTGTATGAAGATTAATGAAGGTAAGCACTACTTACCCTTCAAATATATATATATAAATGTTAAAATAATAAATATCAGTTTAATAATCCACACATTACCAAAGGTTACGGTAGTTAATATATTAAACTACAATGATCATTCCAAAGCGGTTGTTCTATTTCTAACATATTTATATTTTTTCGAATTACTCTAATGCTAATGGCCGCAGCTGGCCTGTATAGCTTCACCGGAGGATAGGGAGCGAGTGTAGAAAGCACTGGAAACCAAAGGAAGGACTTATGGAGCGGCAGAAGGCCAACTCCCGACTAACGGATACGACTTTAGTCTGAGGGCACCGCTAGGTCCGAACCTCGGCGTCGTAATATTGATTCCCGTTTGAATTGGACGGGGGATCGATCGGATGGAAGCCCAGGGGCACCGGTGTGGAACGTCTGGTTGATTGCGCGATATGGTGTATTTGGGGTCGTCGACTTCGCCGGCGAGGACGGTGTCGTGTGTATGTGTAAAAGTGTGGTCGGGACGGAACGGATGGACCCGTAGGGAGGTTAACTATCGTTATTGGGTTGTCGGGAAATTATATTAAAAATTATAGAAAATGTTTATACCGACGAGATGTAGAAAAATGAATGAAACTCATTAATTTGCATCTTGTCCTTTATAATTATCAACCTGCTCACCGTAATTTTTAAAATAGTAAATATAACACTTATTATTAAACAAAATAAAACATAATAGTTACGTTTACAAATTTATGACCTCGCAGTGCGAATTAAATCAGCTCTAAAAATTATGGAAATATTATTAATACATTCAAATTTACTACCTGCCAAGGTCAAATTCACGGTTTAAAATTTACAAAGTTATTATTGTGAATTTATTTGCATTCGCAAATAGTTACAGCTGGTTATGTAAAAATCATTTTGTGTGAAATATCCCATTCTAATCTATTGTGACTTGTTGTACTATTGGAATGACAAACAAGTTAATAGTCTAACAAATGAAAAATGGACATTGTCACCTCTAAAATGGAGGAATATGATTATAGATAATTAGAGCACCGTTTCTTAACCTTTTTCAGTCAGTACTGTAATTTAAATTAGTTACTTGACGTAGATATTTAAGGTTATGTGAGGTACATACACCTCACAAGGTACATAAACCTTAATTACTGGGGAAGTAAGTAGAATATCGATTAATAGCGAATAAGATGGAAGCAGCGCCGGCAGTCACATCTAGTATAGTAATGGATCGTTCCTTTAACAAAGTTTTTAGTACACTTTGCAATCGACCCTATGACCCGACCTTCCACTTCATGACTCGTGGTAACGATGTCTCGATGCGGTAACATACGATCAAAATTGTAATTACTGTATCGATATAACAATACTTATTCGCACATAACGATGCGTGCTTATTAATTGTTACACAAGTAGGCTTAGAGCAGGGATGCCAACCGTATAATAATCCTCGCATAAATAAATACGAGATTCTTGACCTTCGGTAAAAGGACAATTTCGTACAAAAATCACTAAAATTATAAGAAATAAAAATAAACACGAAAATAGGTCAAAAGTTGAGAAAGGGGCTGTTCAAGTATTACGTAAGTAAATTTATTAAAATTATTTACCCGACCATCCCAGCAAAAGTAAGCAAAGCTCTTATCCCCTTAAAAACATTTTTCAATATATATATATATATAATGTATTTTTTAGCATAGACAATGCGAGGGGTACCATTCGTGTAAAAAAGTAAATAACTAGCGATGACGTAATCATCATCTAGACTCCCCTACCCCCATGTCATCCCCCCCCCCCTCCATATTGTGCTTACGTAATACTTTAACGGCCCCAAAACCAAATTGAGCTAACATACCGAAATTTTATATTTCTTCGTACGAGGATAAATATATTAAGGATAGCAACCCTGGTTTAGAGATAACGACATTACAAGATGCTCACCAAATCCTACCAGTTTAATAGTCAGTAAGGTACGTATAAATTGATCGTTTAAATTTATAGCAGTTACGCTAGTATTGTTCAAATAACACTTTAATTCTGCATGTTGTACCCAATGAGGAAAGCTGGAAAGAGGTCTACTGATACTCTCGTTCTATTTATAAAAAGTTCTTTCACACTCTAGAATTATTCTCTTTCGATACCCTAATTCACAGAGTAATTAAATGTTTTATATAAGTTGGTACGGCGGCCCTTATGGGAGTTAATCAAAAATGTATTATATGTGACAGAGACTGTAAAAACATGTCCACAGTTCATATAAAAATTGTATTGAAGTTGGCCTGCATTTTCGGTCAAAACCTACTTAGTGAATCTATGTAAAAAATTGCTTCCAAATTTGCACAGATTTATATATAATTAGTTTGTTTCTAATGACGCAAGGCTGGTAATTTTTTTTTGTAGTGTTGTTCCCTTAACTTGCAAGGAATTATAGAAATACCTACTATGAAATAAAGTAGCAGTAAGTCGGTACTGTTTATTGGGAAAAAGTTTAAATATACTTTTCCCGATAAAGATAAATTTATATTTACTTTATATTAAATTTAATTGTAATAAATTATATTATATTTACACTACCTTAATTGAAATAAATTATTTATTGATGCATAATTGTTATAATATAATTATGTAGGTATGTTAAATTAATACGTAAATCTAGATCTTTATTCAATCTAATACAAAAAAAATTAGCTATGGTAGACTTTTTTTACGTGAACCTTAAGAAAAGAGATCAAAATTTTAATTAAATTTTAAAAACAAAAAAAAATTAATAAGAATGTTACATGCTTTCTTTTATTTAGATTTTCTAATCCTAACTGTTTTTGGTCTGTTTATGTTCTTATTTTTTCCATTAATATCAGAATATCTAGGAAACTAGGATAAAAGAGAAAATCTTCACTTAAACCAGGAATTCTGACGTAAAATATGAGCCTATGTAATATAAGTAAGTATCGTATATAATTCACTCACCACGTCGTTGTCACCATCTGAGCTGATGTTGTAACCCAAAGCCGCAAAAGTTTGATACCACAGCAACAAGTTCCATAGAGTAAACCACATCGTGACTACATCACGAAGCACAAACAACACCTAAATAACGCCTATTTTTTAAACCAATAATTTAAATACTTATTAACACTACCTCTTAAATCCGGTTCTATAACATATTAAATTTAAACAGGTGTTATAGTTCAAATTCTATAACGCGCGTTCTAATTACATTTTAAAATAAATTAAAAATATATCACTTTAAAGGGACATAATTGATGTTTTAATTCAATTTTCGGACGCGACTCAGCACGTTCGGCGTTTGGCGGGAAAATGTTAACGCATGCGCACCGGTGCTCTACGCACGCCATATTGCACAATACAGAAGCAAGTACCTGCGCCCGGGGACCTTTGGTGGACAAGACGTAAGACAAGAGAGAATAGTCTAATCCAATTGATACCTGTTCTCTAGTCATAACGCTAGAAGAAAAATTAACATTACCTAGGATTTAACACCTAAGATTGGCACAAATTTTATAATTGGCTATTGTATTATAATTGCATTGTATTAATAATATTGTGAATTAATGATTGCCAGTGTATTTTTGATATAAAAAAATAGTATTGTATTCACAGTTGTAGACACAATAATTAAATAAAATACTGTAAAAGTAATAACGATAATTATCCAAAGCTAATAACATAGAACTGAGGGCCAATATTCCTTGATCGAAAATTAAATAAATATTGTTATATTATACAAACAAACATTATTGACTTTCTTTTTGAAACGAAAAACGGCAAACATCGTTAAACGTTTAGTGATCAAAGAACAGTGACTAAATTATTCTGAAATTCTAATTGTTAACATGTGAGCCTCCTCTTGACCTCCCCTGACCTTAGATTGCAGAATATAATTGTCACAGCAATAAGAATGCGTTCCGGACATTATCCATTAAATTCATTTGGTTTTTAATGCATACATCGAATTCCCACAACTGCCAAACATGAAATACGGTAGAAGATATGCATCACATATTAATGGAATGTATCTGAGAGGTACTTAAAACGGTATCAGATATAAAAAAATTGGACTAAATTAGTTTGATGTTGGCATACCACGGTATATTATCTTATCCTGTATCATCGCCAGTATTTTTTATTTTCATTGTAGATATAGTAGAAGATAAGGTTAGAAATAAAATATGAAGGGACTGGCATAATGTTATGATAAAACTCCCAAAATAAATCTAATATTAAAAAAAAACCAATGTGCATGAGTATCTTTTGCATTCGCATTTTGCGCTTACGGTCTACGCTCGCATTTACAGACAATGTTTTGATTTTGATTTTTGAAGCGGTTTTGTTTTTTATGATAAATTGGTTTGCTGTTTTATTTGTTTGTTGTTAATGTAGTAAGTGTATTTATTTTGGAATTCAAAAATGTATTCTTATTTATAGATATAATACATTTTATTACATTTTTTTATAATTTATTTACTGACATATTTTTGTTATAAGTAACATTACTAGTTAGCAACAATAAAGAGTAGGTTTACCGTAGTATAAGGAATTAGGGATATCTCTTATACATAGCGTACTGGTGATCGGAATGCTATATAAATTAAATTTATTAATAAATGAAAGCAACGTAATTTATAATTAATTTAATATACTTACATAACTTCATTGGCAACTGAGTGAAGAATCATTTTACATTTTTTTTGCTCCAGAAAAGGGAGCGCTATGACATAAGTGTAACACTTACCTTTAAGGTATGTTATACTTAGCTACATTGAAACGCTCAACAGTTTAAGGCGAACTAAGCTATTAATTGACTTAGAGTAACCTGACTGCATGCCTATCGAACAACTTAAGCAATGATCAAGTTATGTTGTATACATTCATAGGCATTTCATATATATATAACTTTCCTTTGCTTGTGTTATGCATTCTATTAAAGGATTTATATAAACCTACGAAATTCTATACAATAATAATATTTTTTATTTAACTCAGAAGGATCGTTACAATATCATTTATACAATAGGTACACTTTCAAGACAACATTAATCCTTTTAGTATTTCTGTGTAGCCCTGGCTTCTGAACTAGCATTAGCCGTATGACAGAAGTCACATATAGATACTATTTTTTTTATTGGTGAATAAAGGAATGGTGCACCCGCTGCGCTAACAGTATACGCTGGCGGGGCACCAGAGGAGGATATGAGCATGAGATCAGGTCAGTTAGTCGAATGGCAAATTCACCACGAATTTATCATGTTTTCCAGGTGGACCGCATGGCTGTCCTGGCTTGGTACATTGCTAACAATGGGGTCATCAATCCAGATTACTAACAATCCCTTTCTCGATATTTTATATTATATTTATTTTTTATCGGTAGTTATTTTTATTATATTGATGGTTATATTAGACTATTTTTTTATTGTGTTGGTGTAGCTATGTATATGTGTCACTACCAATTGAATTTAAACTAAAGCTATTTGTAAAGCATATTAATATCAATAGTATTTGTTAAATAAATGTATTAAGTCTAAATCAAAATGTAATTACTAATAATTCGTATTAATTAGATGGGCCGTATCCTTGTTTGCCATCATAGTAGTATAAAAAAAACTAACATAGTAGTATATAAAAAAGACTATGGAAATCAAAATCAGAATAAAAAATCATATATTCATGCAGGACACTTATGAAAAGTTTTTGTATTAATATTTTTCCCGACCGTCCAGTTCAGTATACAAATTCAATTGAGTGGAACTGGCAAGAAACTCAACTGATTTTCTTTTTTTTTTTAACCAGTTTATATAGGACTGTAACATAGGTGTCTATGCCTAACATTAGATATATTAAAAACAACTATTGCAATACGCATTTGTCAATTAAGTAATCATTTAGTCTGTAAAAGGATTTGCTCGATAAATATGATTTAAGTTTTAAATTTATTTAAAGATAACTTCAGTTTATATATCCTTCGGTATGTTATTGTAAATATTATCCATTCCTATAAAAATGCGAATTAATTATACCACATTCATCTTCACGCGAGATGACGTTCTCAATCTTTTCCTAACATTACACAAGATTGTGAACTTTAAATTTTTTATCAACACAAAGTTACGCCTATTCATCTATACATATAAATAAAATTGGAGTGTCTGTTTGTAATATTGAAATAACAGTTTTTTCTACATGCATATGAATATAAATGCGGTACATACATCAGAATATCATTTATTTCAATTTTTGTCTGTCTGTTTGTTTCGCCTAATCTCTGAAATGTCTGGACCGATTATGACGGGACTTTTTTGGCAGGTAGATAATGTAATAAAGAGTAACTCAGGCTAATTTTATTTAAAAAATCTTTTGTTTTATAAATATAAAGTTAAATTCCACTCGGACGAAGTCGCGGGAACAGCTTGTTTTAAATAAACAAGGACAAGGTACATGTTACACATCATTTATTACTAAATCTTTTAATACATTTATAACGTTTGATGAACGTATTGTCATTTAAATTCATATGTCTTTATTTACCTTTGTAACATGTCAGTAATGTTTACAATTAAATGAATACCATTACATAACATTTTTTTTACAATTCACACAACGCCATTGAGTTTCAAGAGAACTTGTGTCATGAGTACTAGACAACTGATATATATATACATAGATTATAGATTTGTAATATATATTTTTTGTTAATATACATAGAAATTACATAGATAAAAACAACATACTCATGAATACAAAAGTTTTAACCTTGCGAAAAATTAAACCCGCGACTATTGGAAGTAAAGCGGTCTGCTTAACCACTAGGTCTTATTGGTATCTACAAATTATACATATTACATATATGTGTTTATGTACATATAAGTAAGTATTGTTGTCTGTCACAATATTTATTAGATATTGAAGTTCTGTATACAAAAATATATAATAAAATTATTAATAGAAAATACTATCTAAATATGAAATATAAAACTATATGGCCAGTACGTCGGTAACAGTAAGTGTTAAGCGTTTTGCGTCATTGATATACTTCTCTTTTATTTGTATTAAATTTCTGTGAAAACAAAAAAATATAACGCCCATAGTACCACCACTCATAGGTTGGGTTGCCATTCCAGAGGGCAAGAGCTTTATGCCTCTGTAAAGATAAGCTGCTTTTGTGGCAATGTATGCAAAGAATTGAAATATTAGTTTTTTGTATATTATTCTGTATTGTTTAAAATGTGATAAGTACTCTGTGCGGTTTTAGGAATTGTGATAGTATAGAAACTCTTTTAAAACTCTTATTTACTAGCTGTGCCTGCGGTTTCACTCTCATGAAATTTATACCCTATATGTTATTCTGATGTATAAGCTATAATATTGTAGAGTTTCATCAAAATCCGTTCCAGAGGTCCATACTCACAAACTTTCGCGTCTATAGTTTTTACCCGACGCTTCGCGCGCATTGATTCTATTAAATGAAAAAAAAAATTAAATAAAAAGTATCCTATGTTCAATATAGTACCTCCAAGAACATGTGTACAAAATTTCTTGCTGATCGGTTCAGTAGTTTTTGCGTGAAAGCATAACAAACATCCTTACTTTTATATTCATAATATTAACTATCTTCGCCCGGGTGTACATGTATTATACATATAAACCTTCCTTTTAAATCACTCTATCTATTAGAAAAAACCGCTTCAAAATCCGTTGCGTAGTTTTAAAGATTTAAGCATACATAATGACGGACAGACAGCGACAGCGACTTTGTTTTATACTATGTAATATTGATAAGGATTAGGATTAAGATCTTTATATTGTCTTGTCATATTGTAACATTTCAACAAGAATGTCTTACTAGAATTTTAGTTGAATTAAAACAGTTTCCTTTGCTCTATATCGTTTTTGTATCAGGAACAAAGTCATTTTGAAATACATTAATATAGAGTGGTAATAAACAATTCTCACTATCTGAGATATAACATAGATAAATTATATTCACTTGGTAACATATTCAGTAATTGCGAAACCAGTCGAATGTACGGACATGTGGAAGGACCTTAATATCAGGTGTGGGGATTGTATTAAATTTTTCCACTCACCTTCGTTTGGTAAAGTTCAGGGTTTATAATTCGTACTACGCTACTGTTATTTATTTTAATAGATCATTTTCTTCACAGATAATAAT